TCATTTTAATGGGGAAAGAAAGAGAAACAAACAGGAGCTAAGAATCTATTTGCCTGAAGTAAGGGTGGTACCAAGAAACAAATAGCTTCTTCCATCCTTTCGGCACAAACCAATTATTGAAGTCAATTATGTATGGCATACTCTACGATTTGAGCGATTTATTTTGCTGAAGGTCTCACGACGACGTTTGTAGTAGTAAGTGAAATCTTAAGCATTTGTATTTTGGTATTTGCATAGAAAAATTCAATTTTTGAAATGGATTTCTCAAATTAGTTGATTTTTGTTATGTGCAAAGTTTCCTCCTCCTTTTTATCGAGGACGTCTTCTCCTATAGTAAGATGTTTTGAAGATGACGCTCCTAAATATGGTTAGTGTCCATGTTTTACATTTCGAAATCATGTTTTTGGTTCAATTTTTCTTATGTACTACCGTTCGAATTTTGGTGTATTACGTGTATACATGTTGATTGCTATGGCTTTTGATCTATTTTCAATAGTAATTACTTTTTATTCATGTTCATCCAACCAAACAGTAATTCAATTTTTCTTATGTGCTGTTGTTCGAATTTTGGTGTATTACGTGTATACATGTTGATTGCTATGCGTTTTGATATATTTTCAATAGTAATTTCTTTTTTTTTTTAAATGTTCATCCAACCAAATATACGGATTACTTCATAATGACTATATACAGTGGGTTGTTTTTTTGATAAGCCGAATAATATGAAATTCGAACATGGTATATGTGAAGCCTGCTTATTTCAATAGGGATCGGATTGATTTGAGGCATTTGCATGTGTGCATGGAAATTGTGAACATCTCATACATACCAGCCCAATAGCACTGCAACACTTGGCCCTACGCTACTTTCCTCCTTGTCCAATGCACATTCATCCTCATCCCATCTTTCTTACCGAGGTGGAAGCAATTCACCCTTGAAATGGACCCAGTTTCATCCCAAAGGAATTGTCATAGTAAAATGAATGAAAACATTAAAAACATAGGCCATGCAAACATGACTAGGTAACTTTATCCTTTGTAAGATCTACCCAAAACAACTCACCAACAACAAAATCCACCCCTCGACGCCCTAGGTCTTCAGTTGTCTCTTAATGAGCATTAATAATTTCCAGCTTGTTGCAAGTAGATTCATTAGTAGGGGCCATTTTTCTAAGAACCAAATAGAACTGGCTGATACGACTCTAGTTCCTTTATTAAATGGGTCGATTTCAAGACTGTATTAATGGTTTTTGAATCTCGTTCTTTGTGTTGCCTTGAGAAGTGAGAGTGGATTTGATTCTCTCGAATTTCTCTTTTCACTAAAGCCTAATGCATAGCACCAACATAAATAAGATATTTTAACATTAGATGTCAAAATTATCTCACGTTCAAATTTCACTATCTATGTGCTTCTTCTTCTTTCCTTCGCAACATTACTCGAATGGCTAATCGAAATTCATTCCAAATAATTTTATAAATACTCTAGAAATTCATAGCTTTAAAGCAAATTCCTTCAGGTCCTTCATCAGAACTCAAAATTTTCGTTGTTTCCAAAAGTTGTTGGCCATTAAGAATCAAGATCACCTCCAATTCTTCTTGAGGATTATGAAACTAATCAGGTTATAAATACTACATGTATATTTTAATATGTATTGCTGTATGGATTTTTTTTTTTTTTTTTTTCAAATTACGATCCTGATGTAACATTTTATGTTGACGCTTAATAGTTTATCCTTGTTTTAGCATTTATTAGTTGATCTTGAGACTTGGAATTGAATTTTTTGGTTGCTGCCTTGTTAGGTGATCATTTAATGGATTCAATTATCTAATTTTTTTAACACGGTGCTAATTTATTACTTTATTTGTATCTCGTATGCAAATTCATTATTAGTTGATGTTGAAATGCCATGATATTTAAATTAAAGAAGACTCTATCCATAATTAGAAGAAATAACCTTTTTATTGTGTAAATTATAAGTATAAAAGATTATGATTGAATTGACCCTAGACCCTAAAGACTCTGCAATCTGAATTTTTTTCACAGCCGTTTATTATTGAGTGATGCTATTCATAAACAGTGACTCTAGTAATTATTATACATGATATCTTACATTGCACAACATTATAAAAAGTTATTTCTTTTTTGAAATTATTAAAATTATGACACGTAAAAAAAATAATGCAGTCACTGACTATAAATAGTGTCATTCTTTATTATTGAATAGATTATAAGTATAAAGAGTCTTTGTAATTTGGAAAGTTTTTGAAAATGTTTATTTTATAAACAACATTGACATTAGTGGTAGATTTCCATTTTCCAATATAGAATTCTTTGTCAGTTGTGTCTTTACAACTGCGAACTGAGATACTCTTCGATGAAGTTAACTCTCGATTAGGACAATCAACTTTAAAAATTTGAAGATTGTTGCATTGAAAATCTTTGATTTCATACTACATAATCATTTATTAAGTTTTATACATTTTGTTTTATTTGTGTAATATAGATGAATACTGAGACAACTGAAAAAGAAAAAAGAAAAAAAAAGAGTGGTACGAGTAAGAGTGATACTTTTTGTTTGTGGTTGTGGAAACACTTCAGAAATTGCTAAGCATATGACAGTACCAAAATAGATGAAAGACAAAAAGTACCAACCAATCAAATGACGGTGATGATGTGATTGTCAATATTGCTGTTATGGTGTTTAACAAAGAAACATATATAAGAGCAACGGTGAAAATGATTATTGTGGATGAATTGCTGTTTAGCTTTGTTGAAGGTATCGAATTTAGAAAATTCACGAGATATTCTTGCCCTAAGTTTGATCTTCCATCCCAAAGAAAAATTAGTAGGTAGTGCTAAAACTTTATAGTGAAGAGAATGTATAATTGGAAGGTATACTTATTGCTAAGAAGCAGAGGGTATACCTTACCACAGATTGACTGGTGAATAGAGCATGTGTCCATAATTACTTTTGATAATATAAGTGTAAATGATGGGACTATTATCTATAAATAAAAAATGTTGAAGGATTGGAAGGTTGATGGGATGGTCTTAGGTGGTTTGTTTATACATGTAAGGCATTGTGCACATATTGTAAATTTAATAGTAAATGATGGATTGAAAGAATTTCACATGGCAATAGCAACTAATTCGAATGCTCAATGTTGTTCGATCATCCATTCAAGATTAGCAAAATTCATTTGTATAAAGAGGAAAAAAATTGAATGCAAATTTGGCTATGCTAGATGTAGCTATTAGGTGAAATGCAAAATACTTGATGTTGAATAGTACACTTAAGTTTTTATTGTAAATATTTTGATGTGCTTGAAGAATGAGAAGGAAACAGAAAGGCTACCTACAAGCAGAAATCACTGATTGGAAAAAGAAAGTAGGAACTTTTTTTACTATTTTGAAAACCCTTTACAAGGAGGGTGATGAATTTGGGACATTGGCTAGTGCATGTGATGGTCTTGCATTTCTTGGCCTCGTTCCTCGACCACAGTCTCTTGTACTTGGATAAGGAGGCTTTCTGCTCTTTGGGATTTCATGCACCCTTCCTTACTGGCTCAAAACTTTTCCATTTTGAGTACTCAAAGTATTCGTTTGAATCATAGTTTATCGTGTGATAAATTTTACAAAATTTCGGCTTTGAAATGTTAAGGGATGGATGGCGTGCTTTGTCAATAATTTGCCAAGGAGCTGGAGATATTGTGTACACCTTTCCTTTATTTTCGTCGTCGAATCGAAGATAACTTAGGTACTTACATCGGGGATTTTCCTTTTATCCTTGAGTTTTTCCATCCGGCCTTGCTCTATATTTTGTTTGCTCTCAATCTTGTCTTCTATTTGGATCTCGTTTCGTTCAAATTTACTAATTGGTTTGAATGCCTAGGTTTTTTTATGAAAACGTCACCAGAAAAGGATTCTGCATCAACAACCGGTTCCATAAAGCATCTCTAGCCTTCTTATATAACATGGTTTCGTAAGCTATGAGTTCAGCACTAATACGTGTAAAATAGCTCTTGAAGGTTTTCCCTTCTTCTAGTCTCATGTCATTGAGTCTCGTGGTTGGTGCCTATCCCAGCCTGCTTCTATAAAGGCCCTAGAAATGCATGCTTTAATTATAGCCAGCTTTTAATCTAACCTGACTGTAACTTGCTATACTATCTCTTAGCAAATCTATAGAGTGTTAAACGAAAACTTTGACATTTGAGTGCAGGACATACCTTTTTCAACCTCGTCTAAGTCATTTACTCAAGTAGGTGGTACATCAGATTGTTCTTTTCACCATACTTTTCTATGACAGGATGAATGAAATTATTCAAAATTAAAACTTCTTTCATCTCTTTCAAGAATGGCAGACTTTCGTCATTATCACCTAGTTCATATGATCTCACGGGATGATGTTCATATTTCTTGTATAGATGTAGTATATGAAGAGTTGATCAAACCTTTCACTTTTCTACTTTTATGGTGGTAGCATTGGTTATACATTTTGTAGTGAGAATTAATTTTCTCCACGAGTCTATAAAATACAGTAGATCTATTCATTCGATGATCTTTTCATTTTTTATTAGGTAAACTATCATAGGTTTTTGATACTTGAATGTTGCTATTATTCTCATAGAAGAAATTTGTTATAGGCTCTACGCTGTTTTCACTAGATTCTCCCTGTAGATTTATCTTTGGATTCTCTACTTTCGTATATAGGAAGCATTTTTTGCCTTCAAGACTTTGAGGCTTTCTTCATCCCTAGTATGGTCTTTGCCATTGACATGGATGGAACTTTAATCTTGACTGTATATTGATAAAATGAATTACAATACAACAGTGATTTTTAATAGAAGAATCATATGCTCTATATATATAAGGATTGCAAAACTATTCTAGGAATGCAATATTGTTCTAGGGAAGCTAGCTAGAATTGTGGTTGTGAGATTGGTGATTGATGCAGGGCTTGATTCTTGTGATTGACTAGCTATTATATCCTTGAATCTCGCCTAATTATCTTTGTTATGATCTATTGCTTGATTTGTGCCATGATCTTTGATACGCCCCCTCAAGATAGGGCTACCATCCGCAATTCCAATCTTGGTTCTTAGTTGGCTAGTTCGTTGCTTTGACAATGGCTTTGTGAGAAGATCTGCAAGTTGTTCTTGGGTATTTACATGATGGACTTTCAGCACAACTTTTTGAACTATATCTCTAAGAAAATGCAGGTCTATTTGAATATGCTTCATTCGAGAATATTGAACAGGGTTAAGGCTGAGTTGTGCTGCAGCCAAGTTGTCACAAAGTAATTTGGTGGAGATGAAATGTTTGAGCCGAGTTCCTGAAACAGCGACAATAACCAAAGTTTCTGATGCTGGTTACAATCGACATCGGCATACATGGTTATGATTGAGCTTGAGCCTTTGCGTATGTCAATGCCATGATAAATTGCCTGTTTCAAGTATCTTAGGAGTCTTTTTGTAGCTGACCAATGCATGGCAGTGGGTTTATGTATAAATTGGGAAAGTTTGTTTCATTGCAAAAGATATATCTGGTTGTGTAAGAGAGAGGTACTGGAGTACACCTATGACACTCCTAAACTCATTGCTGTCTACTATTGAAGTGCCCTCAATGAGTGTAAGAGCTATTGTTGTGGATAGTGGAGTGGACATTTCTTTTGATCCAAGCACGTTTGCCTTTGCGAGAATGTCATAAATGTATTTGTGTTGGGACGGGAATAAACCCGTTGTAGTAGGAATGACTTCTATGTAGAAAAAAAATAAAGTTGCCCCATGTCCTCTAGAGGGAAAAAAAAAGCTTCAAGTTTAGCAATTATTGAGAAGACAAAAACTTTGTGACTTCCAGTAATAACCAAATCACCAACATAGACCAGCAGGAAGCATGAAACAAAGGTTGACTTGTAAATGAACAAGGAGCTGTATGCTTTTGAATTGACAAAACCAAATTCCAAAATCTTTTCTTTTAGAGCCGAATTCCATTCCCTTGGAGCTTATTTGAGACCGTAGATGGTCTTTTGTAACTTGTAAATGTGGTTAGGTTTTGATAAATCTTTGAAGCTCGGTGGTTGAAGCATATTGATTGTTTCATGCAGTTTTCCATGCAAGAAAGAATTGTTGACTACTAGCTGTCTCAAGGTCTAGGCTTGCATCACAGCAATGGTCAGAATTGTTCTAATGGTGGCTGGTTTTACAACCAGACTGAAAGTTTCCTTGTAATCCAACCCGGGTCGTTGATTGAAACCTTTGACAACCAATCTAGCTTTAAAACGGCCAATAGACCCAGTGAATTTTTTTTTCACCCTGACTACCCATTTGCAACCCACTTGTTTGCAATGAGGTAGGCAGGGGGGAACTAATTCCCATGTATTGTCTCATTAGAGCTGTGAGCTCATTAGACATGACACTTCTCCATTTAGGATCACGAAGGGCATTTAAATGTGGTTAGGTTTTGATAAATCTTTGAAGCTCGGTGGTTGAAGCATATTGATTGTTTCATGCAGTTTTCCATGCAAGAAAGAATTGTTGACTACTAGCTGTCTCAAGGTCCAGGCTTGCATCACAGCAATGGTCAGAATTGTTCTAATGGTGGCTGGTTTTACAACCAGACTAAAAGTTTCCTTGTAATCCAACCCGGGTCGTTGATCGAAACCTTTGACAACCAATCTAGCTTTAAAACGGCCAATAGACCGAGCGAATTTTTTTTTTTCACCCTGACTACCCATTTGCAACCCACTTGTTTGCAATAAGGTAGGCAGGGGGGGTGGGAACTAATTCCCATGTATTGTCTCATTAGAGCTGTGAGCTCATTAGACATGACACTTCTCCATTTAGGATCACGAAGGGCATGACTCGCACAACTTGGTTCAATGGTGGGTGGAATTAGGTGTTTGGTAACTAAATGTAGTTGTTTTAGCTTATGAATGTTGCTAATTGAACGGGTAGTCATGGAATAGGTTCAGGTTGGTTCGCTTGGTTGCTGAATTCCTACGGGTTCAGATGAGGTTTCGAGATTGAGGGATTTTATTTGGGTTTATGTATTCATGAGATTGGTGGGCTCAATACGAGTTGATTGTGCTGTGAGAGTGAATCCGTGCAGGTAGGTAAATGAAAGATGAGAGATTGGGGAAAAACCTCGAGGTGAAGCAAAAATAGGTCTACGAGCCATTCTCACTAGTAGCGATTGCGGTAGTTGAAGCAACGAGATTGAGAAAGCTGATGTTGGGGAGGAGATGCCGACGTGAGGTGTAGGAAAGGTGTCGAAAGGATTTTGTGTTTCGTGGAAGATGACATGATGCGAGAGATAGACCTATTTTGTGGCTAAATCCATGCATTGATACGCAATTTGGGTTTAAGTAGCCCAAAAAGACACAAGGACTTGATTTGGGCTGGAGTTTATGATTTCTGTAGGGCCGAGTTAGGGAAAAAAACAAGCAATCAAATTTTCTTAATTTAAGATAATTTGGTGGTCGATTAAACAATTTTTCAAAGGGAGATTTATTATGTAAAAGAGGAGTTGGTTGTTGATTAATGAGGTAAACAGTGGTTTGAAATGCGTGAGGCCAATAAGGGAGTGGGAGAAAGGCATCTTTTAAAAAAGTAAGTCCCATTTCCACAAGATGGTGATAGCTATGCTTGGCAACACCATTTTGTTGGGAAGTGTGAATAACAGCGGTGTAGTGACTAATTCCAAGAATAGAAAAGTAATTTTTAAGAGCCATGAACTCAACACAGTTGTCGGAATAAGCACTTTTTATTTTTGTTTAAAAACAATTTTCAACAAGATGCTTAAATTGAAGAAATATGCTACGTACATTTGATTTGATTGTCATAGGATAAAACCATATATATTTGGTAAAATGATCAACCAAAATTGAGTAGTAGCGTACTATCAAGACCAACAATGCAAAGGACCCCAAACATAGGTGTAAATGAGATTAAGAGGAGCATGACTTTGAAGACTAGTTGAATGGAAAGGTTGTTGATGCGCTTTATTGATAGAATAAGAAGTACAAAGATTTGACACTTGATGTTCTTTTTTTACTGGAAGAGAAAAAGCATTAACAAGATAATTGACAATTTTTGAAGATGGGTGTCCAAGTCGCTTGTGTTACCCATTGATCGTCGTCCTCTCATGCACATCTGCAACCTTTTTTGAAGATGAGTCCGCTAATAAGTCCGAAAGTGTGTACACACCATTTTCCCATGCACCTTTGAGAAGTATCGCCCCCGTGATTTGATCCTTGACAAGAAAGTAAGATGGGTGAAATTAAAAAAAAAACATGATTTTGGTTAGTAAAGTAATGGATAGAAACTAAATTTTCAATTTACGAATGCTTGGAACACGAAGGATATCATTTAATTTGAAGGTACGTGTTGGGGAATGAAATACCAAAGAACTAATATGTGAGAAACACAAAGCTAAACCATCACTGATTACAACTTCTTCTGTGCCATCATATTCCATGTGAATGGATAAATTCGTCAAATCACATGTAATATTATGAGATGCAGCGTAATCAATTTACCATTTGGTATCCTTTCGATGGGTGGTTGAAACTGAGTTGGCAGTGGGATCCGAAAAATGGACTCTCAAACATTTTTTTGGCAATATGGCCCAATTAGTCACACCATTGACACTTTGGCTGATGATGGTGCTTAATTGTGGGCTTTCCTCCATAGTTGGGTCGATTGATGTCTCTCGGCCCGTTAGGACTTCTATTTCCTGGAGGTTTATTGAAGCTGTGAAATGCATTGGTGCCATTCAAATGGGTTGTACTAGAGCGATTTTTTTGATAAATCTTTGAAGCTCGGTGGTTGAAGCATATTGATTGTTTCATGCAGTTTTCCATGCAAGAAAGAATTGTTGACTACTAGCTGTCTCAAGGTCCAGGCTTGCATCACAGCAATGGTCAGAATTGTTCTAATGGTGGCTGGTTTTACAACCAGACTAAAAGTTTCCTTGTAATCCAACCCGGGTCGTTGATCGAAACCTTTGACAACCAATCTAGCTTTAAAACGGCCAATAGACCGAGCGAATTTTTTTTTTTCACCCTGACTACCCATTTGCAACCCACTTGTTTGCAATAAGGTAGGCAGGGGGGGTGGGAACTAATTCCCATGTATTGTCTCATTAGAGCTGTGAGCTCATTAGACATGACACTTCTCCATTTAGGATCACGAAGGGCATGACTCGCACAACTTGGTTCAATGGTGGGTGGAATTAGGTGTTTGGTAACTAAATGTAGTTGTTTTAGCTTATGAATGTTGCTAATTGAACGGGTAGTCATGGAATAGGTTCAGGTTGGTTCGCTTGGTTGCTGAATTCCTACGGGTTCAGATGAGGTTTCGAGATTGAGGGATTTTATTTGGGTTTATGTATTCATGAGATTGGTGGGCTCAATACGAGTTGATTGTGCTGTGAGAGTGAATCCGTGCAGGTAGGTAAATGAAAGATGAGAGATTGGGGAAAAACCTCGAGGTGAAGCAAAAATAGGTCTACGAGCCATTCTCACTAGTGGCGGTTGCGGTAGTTGAAGTAACGAGATTGAGAAAGCTGATGTTGGGGAGGAGATGCCGACGTGAGGTGTAGGAAAGGTGTCGAAAGGATTTTGTGTTTCGTGGAAGATGACATGATGCGAGAGATAGACCTGTTTTGTGGCTAAATCCATGCATTGATACGCAATTTAGGTTTGAGTAGCCCAAAAAGACACAAGGACTTGATTTGGGTTGGAGTTTATGATTTCTGTAGGGCTGAGTTAGGGAAAAAACAAGCAATCAAATTTTCTTAATTTAAGATAATTTGGTGGTCGATTAAACAATTTTTCAAAGGGAGATTTATTATGTAAAAGAGGAGTTGGTTGTTGATTAATGAGGTAAACAGTGGTTTGAAATGCGTGAGGCCAATAAGGGAGTGGGAGAAAGGCATCTTTTAAAAAAGTAAGTCCCATTTCCACAAGATGGTGATAGCTATGCTCGGCAACACCATTTTGTTGGGAAGTGTGAATAACAGCGGTGTAGTGACTAATTCCAAGAATAGAAAAGTAATTTTTAAGAGCCATGAACTCAACACAGTTGTCGGAATAAGCACTTTTTATTTTTGTTTAAAAACAATTTTCAACAAGATGCTTAAATTGAAGAAATATGCTACGTACATTTGATTTGATTGTCATAGGATAAAACCATATATATTTGGTAAAATGATCAACCAAAATTGAGTAGTAGCGTACTATCAAGACCAACAATGCAAAGGACCCCAAACATAGGTGTAAATGAGATTAAGAGGAGCATGACTTTGAAGACTAGTTGAATGGAAAGGTTGTTGATGCGCTTTATTGATAGAATAAGAAGTACAAAGATTTGACACTTGATGTTCTTTTTTTACTGGAAGAGAAAAAGCATTAACAAGATAATTGACAATTTTTGAAGATGGGTGTCCAAGTCGCTTGTGTTACCCATTGATCGTCGTCCTCTCATGCACATCTGCAACCTTTTTTGAAGATGAGTCCGCTAATAAGTCCGAAAGTGTGTACACACCATTTTCCCATGCACCTTTGAGAAGTATCGCCCCCGTGATTTGATCCTTGACAAGAAAGTAAGATGGGTGAAATTAAAAAAAAAACATGATTTTGGTTAGTAAAGTAATGGATAGAAACTAAATTTTCAATTTACGAATGCTTGGAACACGAAGGATATCATTTAATTTGAAGGTACGTGTTGGGGAATGAAATACCATGCAAAGGACCCCAAACATAGGTGTAAATGAGATTAAGAGAAGCATGACTTTGAAGACTAGTTGAATGGAAAGGTTGTTGATGCGCTTTATTGATAGAATAAGAAGTACAAAGATTTGACACTTGATGTTCTTTTTTTACTGGAAGAGAAAAAGCACTAACAAGATAATTGACAATTTTTGAAGATGGGTGTCCAAGTCGCTTGTGTTACCCATTGATCGTCGTCCTCTCATGCACATCTGCAACCTT